GAGACGACGTGAAGACGGTAACGTCCTTGGTCACTCCCATATAGTATTGGCGGCGTATGGCCGAAACAGGTACAGAAGTAGTGTGGTCGTTCGGGAAGCCAATGGCCAACGATGTGCATAACGAACGGTACGGTGTAGGAGGGTCATTGGTCACTGTGCCATCGGTGCCACCTTTTGGCTACCACCCTGAGACGCGTGGCCAAGCGACGACAGGTTGGTGCTCTTGCTGAGACACCGTCGCTGCTGCCGCTGCCGCCACCGCTGCCGCCGCTGCCGTCAGCAGTAGCACAACTAGGCCGGTTTGCATTCAGCAACGGTCGTCTGTACTTAGTGTCGAAGCTGAACGTCGCGTCGCATTGCCGCTGCCGCCGCCTCAGTCGTCGTCGTCGTCGTCGTCGATCGGATCGCTGCCGCCGCTGTTACATAATGGGGGTGGTTGACAGTAGGGAGGATGAGGAGGACGAAAGGCGTTGGACCAGGCCAAACATCGGCAAGGAATCTGTCGTCTGGCGAGTGACCTCGTCCGCGGCCTCGACCTCCGTCTCCTCCGTCCTCGGATTCTTACCTCTGCTGCTGCTGCTGCCACACATCTGTTATACCGGAGTCGCTTCATCAGGTGAGTACCGTCTTTCCTAGTCTTTGTGATCAGCCACTAGCGGTACGGTTGCCTCATCGCCGCACAAAACTTCTGGTTCTTCCGTACTTCAACGGAACGCTTGCTGACCGCTGTCCGATATGAGTATCGGAAATTTATGCTTAGGCGACTTACATGCACTTAGATTTCGTCTTGCTCACGCCCAATATTTTAGGCGTGTCCGATTAGAATGATTTCTGGGCTTTTCTGTTTGCCTGTGCCGAGCGAGCTTCAATTTTGATGCACCCAGCCATGCAGCAGATTGTTTTTTGTCTTTGAAGTCACGTTTTTATTGCATTTTTAATGCCAGAAGGGTTTTTTGCACAACGTTGCTTTTACGCCTTTGGCACAGATTTATTTCAAAGCTTTTGCGGAACTGTTCAAAGTGGCCTCAATGCGATTCGAGTTATTTTTCCATTTCTGCACGAAAATTACTTTGATTATTTTCAAATAAGTAGTTATTTAGCTGTTAATGTTTTAAGCTTTTTCATTTGCATATAATCTGTTGATGGTTTGCGCTACCGCATAGAAAAGTGACAGCAAAACAGCAATTCTCCCTTTCCGTGCGGTCGAAAACGGCAAGTCCAAGTGTTTGTTGAGCGTGTTTGCGTAAGGCCTTTGCGAAGTATCGGACAGCAGTTGCTTCTTTTGCAGTCATTTTTCAATCAATCATTTTACCTACTCTAATGTCTGTGGTGTGACTGAAAACTTTGCAGCCGTCCGTCGTAATGGCAGGGCATAAGCAAACGAAAACAGAAGGCATGAGCAACGAACACACGACGATGATCAGTCATTCGTTCATTTTCAAAACCCGCCGTTTTTTCGCATCGCGAGGCAGCTGCTTCAGGATGCTTTTCCAGTGGCTCCGGGCAAAAACCGTGGGCTGCCTTCAATGCCGTGTTCTAAATAATCTAGCCATTGGATCCGCCAAGCCGATTATCATCATGTACAAGAAAACCCATGACCTTTCGCATATAAATGCACGCATTCTTAGAGGTCAGCTTGTGTGAAGGTTTGAACCCTTTGACCGCATAAACCGAATCTCAGAGGAACTCATTTTCAGCAGCAAATACATATACGAGTGCCTTACCTTAATATAAGTGTCAGGCGTAGTTGATGCATGAATTCACTGCATGTTTCTTAGCCTCTGATCCGGCATAAAGGTAAACCAGATGGCAAAGTGCTGACTGCCGGCGAGGGCGAAAAGGTGCTAGTGATCAGCGTAGACTGCTAGAATAATTGTAGGAAAACGTTTCTGCTATTTGGTGGGTAGGAGCCAGGATAATCACACCTGCCATGGCAATCCCGTCGATTTTTGACCCCCCCCCTCCTCCCAAATCAAACCAGATCAAGTGGCATGTACGGAGTTCGCCATCTGTTGCAGTCAAACGATGCTTCACGGCTTTCTTTGAGTCATTTCTACGAATTATAATTTTTGCCATTCTCGAGGTGTGGCATCTACCGCACTGTTTTGCGGCGAATAACTGGTTACTGAACTTGTCCGATGTTTGATCGGCTATAATAAATACAATATCCTGTTTAGAGGGTGATTTAATGGTTAGACATCGTGTTTCCTGTGGGCATACGAGCTATTATCACTAACATGGGATATGTTATCCACCGGTTACCACCGTAGCCTACAAAGTAGTACAATTCATTAGAACCCATGACAGCTACCATGGTGGGTAGCGAAGACGTATTCTGCTATACTTTGCATTGGCATGCCATCTCCTACTCTGCGGGGTGGAGGGGAGTTAGGTCTTCTAGAACCCCATATGAAGTTTCACAGTTGTTAACTTAGTGTGCGGTGCGTCTCCTGATCGGCTGTTAATGCAATCGACAAAAGCCATGAAATCCGCTTTAAGTACTTTCAAGGTGAAGCAAACGAACGGTCTGAAATCGTTCTAATGCGGATCGATCGGTTAAATCCGGAGACGCGTTTGATGATTATAATGGTCAAATTATTATCATTATTTCTATCATCATCAGGGTCATTTTGAGTTAACGTCTGTTGACCTTTCCACAAAGCCGCGTTCAAGATTGCATTCAGGAGTTCTGGAGAATTCGGTATCATCTGCATACGCTTGTTTACTCTATGATTCCCGAAACTTAATAAGGCAGATGTACATGAAAAAATTTCTTTTTCTAAATGTTCAGACTCTCTGCGAGCTGAGCCACAGCAGTTAATGCAGTACGCACTGGTTCAAGACGTTAACTAAGGCCGTTACTCGAATACTTCTACGATGACTCATTTAGATAAAGATAAAGTAGCGTGAAGGATTACGAACTTAATTCTTTACCGCGTATAACTCAAACAACCTGTTGAGCGTCGCAACGCTTTGAAGATTGATGATTAAAGTTCTTAAATGTTTCTTGAAATAAGTTACGCCATGTTTTCCGCCTCTCGCATGCCAGTAATGTTCCAATTGAAACGAAATTAATTTGTTTCGCCCAAAATCTGTCCAAATGTTACAAAACTGATTTAAAGTTAATGACTAGTTACCGCAGGGACATAGTGGAAAGTGAGTTTGCTGTTGGTCAGACTCGACGCATAAATTTGGATGAGACAAACTTTACTTGTTTTCGAAATTCATCTACAGTTCGAACATTCCGAAGGTGTTCATGTACTTCAGCCCTAAGCGCTACATCACAATTACTACAACGATAGATTTGTGCTGAACTCGTGTCGGGTGAAGATGACCGTCTGTCACTAACGGTGTTTCACGATGCGCATGGACAAACCCATAGCTGAACTATGCCGTAGCTGCAAATTTGACTTATGCGACAATATGTGCCTTTTTAGTTAACAAAACCTGCATGGGTTACACTTTATATTAATTAACCTTTATTACGATGAGAATAACGTCATGGCGGTTGAACTGTTTGCTTGTAGTCGATTGCGTCATAGATTCATCATTTATGCACATGTATGCATGCATGAAGAAGTTTCGATACCGCATATATTGCACTATTTACTGAAGTGCTTCCTGGTACTCTCATACGAGTGACCTTGGAGCACTTTCCGTTTCATGTGGTGGACCTCGTTGTGACCTGTCCAGCTATCGTATCGCGCAAATCGCCTTTGACCAGTGATGCAGAATCGCTCGGTCTTGGCGGAAACGCGAGTACACGTCGTCTCGAAAATGGTGTGGAGACCTTGGCCTTGAGAGGCAGCCTGAGGTACGAGTATGTCGGCTGGGTATTTCAGCTGATTCATTTCTAGCCGTCGCGAACGATGCTCCCTGTTCCAACTCCGTGTCGCCCACATGGGTGCCTGGTGACTCACATCGACAGCCTCGTAAGAAAGACGTAACCGGCCAAAAGTGGCAGTGATGAATAATTACCACTGTGACTAATGAACGATCACAGTCGAGAAACAGAGAGACAACAGCGGCGACGACCTGAATACTTGAGATGACGTTGTCACCGAGCGACGGTCAGCTCTTCACGTCGTGAGTTGTTGTGTCGGCCGTCACGCACAATCTGCCTACAGATCTCCGTTACAACAACTGGCGAAGGGGGGCCTCGGGTGATGTGTCATCTAATGAGCATGTTCTTGACCAGTGCCGACGTCGGGCGAGTTCGACACACGCATGCATGCGTCCAGAAGATCGCTACGGTGACGGATAT